TCCTTTACTCTAAACATTATTTTAAAAATTACACGATACTTATAAAGCAATACATGAAGCACAATAAGTACCGTACACTCTAAATGAAAGTATCATTTTTCCGAATCACACTGAACAGATTATGATTTGTTTCTTAAAAGTAAACCAAGGTTCGGAACCTTACATAAAATGTTCATTAATATAACGTACCTCTTCTACTCTTCTGAAGACGTGTAACTTTGCCCCTCTTTGCGCTGATCTTGGTGGAAGTGATGGCGATGTTTTTGCTACCAGCCAGCACCTAACACACATGAATGTTCAATTAAAATAAACTTTCGTAGCTGAACTTTTAAATTAGCTACGTATTATAGTTGAGTAGTACTCAGGCCAGATATCCCGTGATATAGGAGTATGAACTGCATCAAGTAAACGTAAAGTAATGTATGAGTGTAAAGAGCTAGCACGAAAGTGTAGGCCTATACCCTGGCCCTGTACTGAAACAACTAGTCTAAGATGACGCCTCACATGCTACACCTAGTGGTCAATGAGGCATGTATTTAACAATAGGTGAAGATATTCTAAACATGTTATTTGCATAATGTGCATCTGGCACAGGCCTGGGGTGTTTTAGAAACGAGAACCAGATACAGAATGTTAATGACTTAATCCTAAAGGGCGATTACTTTGGTCGCCAGACTTTATTGAGAGGGGTGGCGTCCCGCGGTTTGCAATTACTGATCAACTTGGTTGAATTAATGTGCCTTAGTCTTGAACCATATGAAGTTGGCACAGAATTTGGAAGAAGAATTAAAACAATTGCTCATTAAAGTAAATTGTGGCAGACGAAAACAAATGTACTCCACTCTAATTTGGCGGGTTAAAAATATAGACTTGCACCGAAGCAGTTCACAACCGGTTCTATAGACTTTGCTATATCCGGTCGCAATTGACCTTGCGACGACACAGTTCAGTCGGCGACTGACTTTTCAGGATTTGTTTGCTTGATGCCGACGGTTCCGTCGTGGCGCAAGCAAATCGCGGGTCGACCTGAGGCCGGCTTTATGGCACAAATTGTCGCGATTTCCGTTCAAATCCGTTCCCCCCCCCCCCAAATCGGGCCCCAAGAGGTTGTCAATTGTTTTTGCTTCTTTTGGGGGTATTTTTTTTAGTCCCACGATTTTATCGTGGTGATGTGTATGTGGCGAGTATTTTCGAGTAGTAGGTGTGTAAATGGCGCCACCAACGTCAAAATAGTCCGTCCCCCCCCCCCCCCCGGGGCACGTCAAGAAATCGTCAACGTAAAGATGCCCCTAGCTCAAACGTTTAAACAAGTAGAAAAGATCAACAGTGAACAAGAAATAATCCTTTTCAATTAATTGTTTCGTTACATCTTGTTTTCTCATATCAGTTAATTTGTAACATTGTAAATTTTACAGTCATCAAGATTTTTGGGGGGAAAGGAACCTCGGAGGAAAATAGGAAAATATATCGATTAACCATTCTTACTAATTTAAATGACCAAAAGATGAAAGCCATTGCCCATAAACGAATAAGAAACGAAAAGCATGGCTATACGTTATAAGCGCAAAGATGTTCGCTAATTCGAATGCGTCAATCGTCAAAAGGTTGCAAAGACTTTATTTAAGTCTGCTACAAATTAAGTCTTGAATGCACCAAAACGAAATAGGATGCACGAAAACGAACATTCAGTGCAAAATCTTGGCTGCGTAAAAATGAAATTGAATGAACCCAAAATGAAAAAGAAACCCCAATTTGACCACATGTGCAAAACTCACGCGAAATTGAATGGCTGATAATAAAACTGATTAGAAAAATTTGGAAAATCGCCGGGAAAACCTATAAAAACTCGCCTCAAGTTGAGAACAGACCGCCCGAACTCGGAGTCGGACAGCCATTGAGTGAGAAAAGGTTTCTGACTGTGTCAATAGGGGGCGCTGTTTCTAATTTTTTTTTCTCCTGTAGAAATTTCGGCGTTTGTTTTTCTCCTGTAGAATTTTCGGCGTTTTATCCCAGATTTTCTCATTCCCAAACAAACTGTGGATCGGTGAACAAAGTTTTTTTCGATATGGTACACCATAATCTACATGTCTTTGAAGTTTTATAAAATTCGGCGAACCAGACCGCGTGGCGAGTGAAAAAAGGCCTCGTCCCGCGGACTATACATGTATACCTATATCGCCCTGTCAAAAATGGCCGGTGACTGCCAGCGCTAATGCATTGTGGGTATATATCGGTCATTAATCTTTCTCATAAGAAAAAAGTATCATTCAACACAACAAACACTCAGTGACATAGAATCAGGGGCGGATCCAGGAATTTTTGCAGAGGAGGGAGGGTCATCAGCAAAACAATGCTGAAATGTGGACAATTTTCTTTCTCCGGACACTGAAATCAATAGGGGGAGCTAGGAAGGTCATACCATACTTTCAAATGCACACTTTCATTATTACAGAATAGCTGTACAAATTTACCCCGTAAGCCAGCTGGCTCTGTCTGAATTTTGCAACGACGGACATTATTACCAGTACAATTATTTGGGTGTCATAGCAGGAGGAGGTTCACTCACTTTCAAATGTATTTCTATGGGGAAAAAATGAATCAGAGCTGGGACTCTCCCCCCCCCCCCCGATCCGCGCCTAAGAAGCAAGAAAATAATCCACATCTATTCTAAGTTATCATATCCAGGGCGAGAGAGATGCTAAGTACATGTATAGCACTGCCGACACGATGCCCTCAATCTAGCCGCGTGGGGGCTACAGGAATTATTACATTTCAAGGTCAATCCCGGCCCCTCGTGATCGCGTGTTCTACAATAAGTTCTGCCTCCCAACCCGTACCTCCCACCTACATGCGGTAATTTCTTTCCCACCTCCGTCCGGCAGCTGGTTTATAGTTGGCCGGCCCATTACAGATCGATTTCCTTTCTTCCGTACTTTTTCACCTCTGTCAGGGCCTATGCTTCCTCTGTGATGACTAATAGCAAATGCATGTACAATGGTACAACTACAATGAATATGCAAAGTCGTCCTTCAAGTGACTAATAGCAAATGCATGTACATGTACATTGTACAACTAGTACATTGAATATGCAAAGTCCTTCAAGTAACTTTTCAGAAGTCCTTCAGAATAACTATCGTGCATAATTTATTTAATCATTAAAAAAGCCTACAGGCAGAGAAACCGTTAGGTATAAATAATGCACTGTAAAAATATATTATGCAAATAATTCGTAGAATCTGTCTGGAAGGGATGCACGACGCAGATTTTCCTTGATTAAAACAAAAGCATCATTTTGTAAGCTGTACGGTGCCTGGTCTTCATTCTCAATTTCGAATTTCGCTTGACCCGATTTTTTGGGGGACTGTTCCAGGATAAAAAAAAAATTCCATTTCATTGTCGCCATTCCTGATGGCGTATCCGTAGCACTTTTTGTCTGGCGACATATCTCGTGGCAATGGCACTGAGACCCATTTTTTTCTGGAGGGGCCGGGGCACTCAATGCCTTAAAGCTCATTTCTGCCTTCCCGAAATTCTCAGCGGGCCACAAGGGGGATGGGGAGGGGGTGGGGAGGGGAAAGAGGGGTACAGGCCCCAGCCTATGCGCCCCCTTAATACTTGCGCCACTGATCCCTTGAAAGTACATTAGGCTAATCAAGCGGAAATGACAACCGTATGAACGTCGTCGGTCCATAATGTGTATCCCGTGCGAGTACAGTGCGTCTTTCATTTTTTTTCTTCATAATACATGTACAATATACATGTACATGTACATGTATACATGATAAGGAAAATGCGAATTTTCTCATGTGCAGTAAAATGATCTTTGCCAACAACTACAGTGGAACACCAAATTATAACAAGATCTTCAATTGGAACTAAATTGCAAATTACCTTGTTACACAGATAGAATAACAAAGACTTGGTATCTTAACAAATTCCTGGTTATATAAGCAGGATGTTATATTAACAGCGCTCTTCTCAACTGTATAAATGTATATCTTTGAAGTTTAGGCCGAGTAAAAAAAACCTGTCTCTCGAGTCGTCCGGGCTTTCTGGAAATAATGAAGTAGGCGGTCCCTTTTCCCAAGATGGCGGAGTTTCCAAATTGGCGGACGGATTCTTCCATTTTCTCGACTCTAGCTTTGATCGCACAAAATTGTGTCCTACGGAGCATTCAACCTTTCTACATTATAAAGCTACAATTTTGTTGGAAACAAATAAAATTGGCAAAAGTTGCAAAATACACATGTATGCCTATTCATTTTTTTTTGTAAATGTATGATTTAAAAAAAGGGAAATGGCCGGGGACGAGAAATTGGTATACAATGTACATGTATATTTTTAGTTGCAGGAAAGCAGTTCAAGAAATTATCCTGTCTCTCCGTTGGTTAGTAACAAACTTCAGCAAATGCCTTTTTGGCAATCAATCACCTAGCTAGTCCAATAGGCCCTCGCAACAACACGTGTTTCAGGTCTCCATTGGCCAGCTACCAATTTATCGAAGTCATAGAAAGTCACTCATTTCGCATTAGGGCTAGTGCACACAAAGTGGGTGATCCACATGCTATAAAAATGCTCCATGCACCAACTGACGCTCAACAAATGGGAATCCTTTTCAACTGACAGTCACGACCACATGAGTAGTTGTGCATTATAAGAACAGATCGACTTTTACATCATGAACATGACATGCTACAGCAGGTCTACAGTTTGGTCGCAGCTTTCGAGATCATTTCGAGCTTGTTTAACATGGCCTTAGTCTTGGACACTTTTTTGTGACCGTCTGTAAAAAAAAACCCAGGCAGGTTGGGAATGGTGCAGTATACGTTACTCCCAGCTCTGTTAACGCACGTCGTATAAATCCAATAGTTTAGACCATAATTCGCAAGGGATGACTGGCTAATCTTAGGAAAATTATTTTACAAAATCAAAGTTCAAAACATGGCACAGAATAACGCTGCACCGACACTCCTAAAAGCAAGGATGCGGCACATCTGCTAATTTCTTTGTCCGCCTTTAATAGGCAACTTTATTACAACTACATGCACATTGAAGACCAACCTCTTATTACACGATTAAAACTACCACGACTCACTACAGAAAGACATTGGTTTTAACTACAAGCAATCGAAATCCAGAAAAGCATTATTACACGTACAGTACTTTAATTTAAGTAACCAAGTACAGTGAAATCCTGATAAGCCAAACCTCAAGGGAACAGGTTCACAATCTGACTTGAGCAGAGTTTAGTCGAGGGTTGTATAATCATTGTACTACTGAAGGGAATGGATTCTTTGTTTGAGTCAGCCTGCTTATTACCGGTACTTGGGTCAATATTGGTCAAGACCCCCATTGGTTTGTACACAGTAGGCCAGGAGGTGAGGAAGAAAATTTTTACCAGTGGTGACCTCTCAAGCAAAGGGAGGGCTTCGAGTTATCAGAGTTTGACTTATCGAGATTTCACTGTACATCAATCTAGTCAGCAACCCTGCGAGTCTAGGCAGACGGCAGGACGGTCACGTCAAAAGTCAAATTAGACAATATATAGCACCACTTTAAATATGTCGTCGACTTTCCTCTATTCGTTTCCATAACAAAAAGAGGAAAACAGGATGAAGTCATTAGCCCCACATTACTGTGCGTTTATTCTTTGGTTTACTAGCCAAGTTTATTCTTCGGTTTACTGGCCAAGTTTATTCTTCGGTATAGAATATTCAAATGGCTGCCATTGCTTGTTATTATAACTATATATTTGTTCAAAGGACAAATCTGCGATTGCCCTATGGTCCAATATCTTTCGGGTGACATACTCGTGTGCTATGCCATGCCCTGTATAAATATATTCAGATTAAGGCACAATCCCTACACATCTGCCGTACTAATCGGTGGGATATCAGTTAGAGTTTGTAGTTTCACTCTAATGGAAATACACCATGTAAGGGAAGAAATATACATGTACATGTGCAGCAGTTCAATCAGGGGTGTACCACTGCGTTTGAAACAGGCAATTTAAAAACAAACTTTGAATCATCGTAAGGTATTTTAAAAGATATTATTTATACACTATTTCTATAACCATGTCATTGAAGTTGAAGGCAGTGTTTTGTACAACGTCCGTGAATTTTTCCCACCGTTTCATTTATGGGTGCCAGCCCTTCGAACCCCATCCTAACGGCACCCAGAAACGAATACTGCTGGACTTAATAAGTTATAAACATTTTATTCCTGAGAAATCATCACAAACTTCCGATTGAGGCGCCATCGATTCATATACAAGCCCCTATGATCAATACCCTGTCTGTCGAAAGGTCACAAAATGGAGGTCAACTTAATTTTGACCTTGTTAACTATTTTGAAATACTATTTGCTCCAGGATTCTGTCATGCATCATTGGAAACCTATTAAAAACAGAATCCCTCTTCATTAACATTGAGCTTCCTGGCGTGACAGAGCAGTTTCCAAACAGTATACAGTCGGATCTCGTTAATACGAGCACGGTTAAGACGATATTTCGGTTTAGACGAGTATATTTTGCCAGTCCCGACTGTATACAGTCATGTACTACAAACCACACAACATGCACAATATTTGCTTGCGATTACTCTTAAACTAAAAGCACACTTTGAGTAATAACTACTCGGCAATCTTATTTTTGTATAAATACGTGTACCTCTTGTTATTCTTGATACAATTGACAAATTAGGCGGCACTTTGGAATAATATCGGTCAGAGGTCATATTCAAGTTTCATATGCTTATAGCTCCATGGTTATACGGATGTAACGTAGGCAAATTACATGTACATGTATATATAATTTGTATGTATATAGGGTGTCCCAATAAACATTGTGCATGAAAAAATAATCGAATTTTCTCAAACGTTGGTCCGACTAGCTGATCGAATTTTATAGCATTTTCAAGAAATATGGTCTTGTTTATAATTTGTGAAAACAAATCAAGAAGATTCAACCATGCAAACCAAATTTGATCTGACCAACTTTTGAGAAAATCAGCTATTGCTAAATCTTCTTGCACGATGTTTATTGGGACACCTTGTATATCATGCCTTGTTAACAATAAAATTGTACGTGTATTTTATTCACCGAATTACGCTGCGTGCTATATTTCTTCCAACAGTACATGTGTAGTTTCAAGAAATTCACACAAAAATGAAGTTGACCTACAAATGGCCGACCTTCAACACAGATCTTCATCTAAAACTTCAGGTGATGATTATGGCCGACCTTCAACACAGATCTTCATCTAAAACTTCAGGTGATGATTATGATTTCAAGATGGGTGCAACCAAAACAGCCTTTTTTTATCACAATCACTGATTTATGGCTGATACCTGTAAGAATCACGAGGTGGTGGAATTGGAGCGAGGAGGGGAGACGACAGGTTCTTGAGATGCGACTCATCCCGCACGGGGAGGTATCCAAAATGCTCCATCATTTCAGCACAGCGTCCAACATTCTCGATGGCCTTTGCGGTCTTGTAGTCTAACTTAGTACGCCACGACTGATACACTTGGCTGGACACTCGGGTAGTCGAGTATACTCCAGGTCTATGAGCCTGGGTATTCTCAGCGATCCATTTAGATATTGTCTCAGGGACAGCACCAAGTCCAGTGAAGTTGTAGATGAGTTGGGTGACTCTCTCTGGATCCAATGACATGTCCTCATACCTCAGTAGAAGGTAGTTGTCTCTGTACTTGGGGAGGTAGTACCCTATTTCTTTATTGTCGATGCTATAGGAGCAGAACTCCATCAAGTACGATCGCATTTCATCTGTGAAAGAATCCGCCTGCAATTTGTTGAATGTGTTCTCAACGACATTCATGGCAAGAACTCGCGATGCAGTCATTCCTCTTGGGTCTCGGACGAGATGAATGACCTTGAGTTTCACGTTACTATCTTGTATCAGTGACAGAAACATCCCGATGTCCCAAATACGGATAGATTTTATCGCAATGTGTCTCTTCTCTTGGCATTTTCTCTCAAAGATCTCTGCGGGAATGGCGTCGCACTTCAGCCCCGTTCTACCCGTCTCAAACGGGTAGCAGAGTGAGTCAAAAATTCGTGGGACTTTTTTCTTGACTTCGAGTGGGGGCTGCCTAGACAACCACTTGATGTAGAAATCCAGAGAAGATGTGTTGCATTGATAGAGTGACCTCAACATATCAATATACATTGGCTGTAAGAAAAGAGCTCCCCTGGAATGCAGCTCTGTGAGCAGTGCTAGGCCGGGCTCAAAAAGGTAGAAGATGTCGTCATTTCGGCCGAATATTTCACCGATGAACGAGGAACCAGTCCGCATTGATGTCAGCACGACAATACGCGATCCCGGTGGATCACTGCTGCGAGTATCTTCCGCAGGGACCGAGTCATCACCGACTACAGGTTGCTCTTCCACGCCGTTGGGCACGGGGTCGATGGAAGTAGGGTTGCGGTTGCACGGTGGACACGACGACGATTCCTCACTACTGACATTCGTGCCTCTGGAGAAAATCCCCAGTTCTTCTTGGGTGTTACTTTTGTCCTGTGTAATCTGTCGAACTCCCTCTCGACTCACTGCCGTGACACTCTTCACTAGCGTGCCACTTCTTCTACCGTAGAGAAGTAGACATATTGCCGATACAGCGACAAGTCCAAACAGTACACATCGGATATTCCTTGCCATGCTGCTGGCTGCTACATACAAGGAGTGCTCAAGTTAAGATGTTGTTGATGTTGTATGTATCCCAGATGTCCAGCAGTAGGCACACTGCAAGTTTTGTCAGATTTCACCGGAAAATATTCCAGAAACTTTCTGCATCTTAATTAGTGGTATAAGGCTATAACTAAAAAATGTTCATGGTGATGGCTTGTAGAATCGGTGTTTCTTCTGTAGTAATGCGTCGTTCTGGAAATGCAATGTCCAGTTCGTGTCACACCTGTGTTGAGTCCAACCACACAGCTTACGCAGAGATGTTGGATAATTGCTTATAATGTACATGTACGTGTGCTGTACTTGCGGTGTAAGCAGAATACATGTACATTGTGGCCACACGTTGCGAGTTTACTAAAGACAATTCACGGATCACTGCACACCTGTTGAGCGCAGCCGCAGCCATCAGTCAGTGCAGAAAAAAAACTCGATTTGCAGAAGTCAGTCAGGCTCAGGCAACGACGTCATTAAAATCAATTCACAGAAATATGTAACGGTTCAATACATCCTCATAAAAGACGGGATTTCGGTTGTTTTTTTTTACCTGTATGCTATGAACTGTAGGTTCAAGGCTCAATGTGGAAGCATCGTGCTGTTTTTTCCATGTTTAGTTTTGAGCGACGGACTAGCACAAAGTTTAATGGCCCTATTGACGTGCTGGTTTCCACAACAGATGGACGCTATTACGTAACGCCACACGCAAACGTTTATCTGGACAGTTTATCTGCAGTCCGCCACTGTGGACATTCTTTTTTTAAGGATGTTGACACAAGCAAACCTGTCGCCAAAGCCGGAAGCGTTGTTCTCGCATACACGTCATAATAATGGTTTAATACTTGGTTGTGTCCTGTGAGAGATCATAAAGTAATCTCGGGATATTTGTGACAAATGAAAATACACATGTATTAGGAGATAAATCACCCGCCACAGCGACTGCGCGGCGTTACGTATTGAGCTTTGACCGATTGTCAACCACTGATCTCTATTTTACTGTCGTGACAGGCGGCGATCGCTGCTCACACGTTGCCGTTGATTGGTGATTTTCCACTCTTGTCTTACTAAAGAAGATTACCTTTAAAAGCAGTCCTGGTGCCCATCGCCATTTTGAATAATAATCCCTTCACTCCCTTGGAAAAAAGAGCGAATTTTTTTTTTTTTTGGGGGGGGGTTCAAATTTTCATCCAGATTTTTCAGCAATTTAATTTCAAAGAAGGGTTCAAAGTCGGAACCAAGCAACAAAAATTTTTTATGAGGCCCTATAGAGAGAAAAAAATCGACAGTATACAAATCGTGGTGTGGCCGGCATAGGATACTTAAGTTTGGGCCTGTTGACTGGTTTTAAAACGACGAAATTACTCAAAATCTTAAGAACGTTGCATAGCAACTAACCGTGTTGAAGTTTGAGCTCAAACTTCAGCACGGTTCGTTGTTATGCAACGTTCTTAAGATTTTGTCTTTTGGCACTTCGCCTCGATGTAGGTCAAATATCACACTCAAGAACATCATTACGAACACATTCTCGTAAAAGTTGGTCCGGTACTTCTGTCTTAACTTATTCTTTATGATGAGGCTTGCGGGTTTTGCCGTCTGATAAGGTTTGTGCACAAAACCCCCGGCGCTTGGAGTTTTTAGAGGACCATATTTTTTTTTACATGTAACCGGGGAGAGCGATATGAATTAGTTTTAAATGCGGCACTCTCCTCACAACCAAGTGGTTCCACTAAATAATTTGGGTGGAGCGAAGTCTTTTGGATGTCTCAATAATATCAAAATATTTTATTTACAACACAATTAAATTGATTTCGAATATATGAGACAATGTATTTACAAATTTATATCTGGTGTTAACAAAAGAATTAGTGTATAAAGAACTTTGGTATACAAAGAACTTGGGTAATAAAAAGAACGACAGTCAAAAGGGAATGGAAGCTGTCTAGATCTATCCAATGATCTTAAATCACAAACAATAAATCACTAATGAATTATGGGAAAACTTTCAGATCAAAGAACATTATTAAAGACATCATTACATTCAAAGTAATTTGGGGAAACACTGTTTTCCTTATTTTTAAATCAAAGAATACGTTTATAAATACATCAGTAAGTGAACAGATGTTGCATAAAAAGATTATGGCATAAAAAGATTCAGGCATAAAAAGTTAAATAACACACAAGGGATTTACTCACCACTTGGGATGATCTACGTTCATGCCTTCCTCTCCGTGCTCGATGTTAAAATCGAAGAATCAGCAGCAAAATTGAAGAGAATAATGCAGAAAACTGCAGTGCCGGCAACGCCGGATATCAAATTATATTGCTGCTACAAGTTAGTCGCACCCAAAATGTGCAGTAATAAAAGTGGAGTGTGCAATGCTCGCTATAAAAAGCTGGTCGCAAAGCAGGAGCAGGAGCTGGAAGATGTCAACTCAAAGTAGAGTTGGAACGGAATCAACGATATTTAGGACCTAGCCCCATGCCTAGCCCTACAGGAAAACTATACGAAACGCCCGGAATGCCAGCTATCTAACTTAAACAAAGCGCGTGGAATGTAGAACTAGCCTGCTCGTTACGCCCTTTGCATAGTTTCAAAAGTAGCGGGCAAAATTCTTGGTGGCGCGCGCTGTGCTAAAAAAGTTTAGTTGGCCGCAAGAGGGCGCTAGGCAAAAAGACGATCGATCGTAACGCAACGCTCATGGCTGACAAAGTGTGACATGCAAGTAATTTACTAAAGTTCGGACATGTGATGCATGATGGAGTAGGGAACCTGTCGGGTAAAAGTGTGTACGAAAACCCGACCTGGTTACATACGGTTACTACATGTCAGCCTAGAGCAACGGTAATGGCCAAGCCTACATGCAGCCAAATTTACAAATGGCATCCCTACATTTTCTCGGGCAAATAGGACCCATTTTTCGACCGTAATTTTATCAAGTCTGCCCTCAGATAATAGCCCAAAAGCTAGGGAGTTGATCCTCGGCTATATTTGCACAATTCATCCATCGTTATTTTAAACCGGGTCTCTATTTTTCCCCCCAAAAGGCTGTGGGGCACGTACTTTTGATGCAAATGAGTTCGCGTAGAAACTTTGTGAACCCTCATCAATCGCGAATTTATTGCGCCCGCTGTCAGTCTAATTGCACCATTCGGATATATCATCTATCTAGCGCCCCCCCCTCTCCCCACACCGTAACAGCAATAAAATATTGTTAAAAAAGGTGCTCGTTTATTCAGAAACTAGTATAAAATCCAAAAGTGAAAAGTTCTTTTTGAGAGCCCACAAGCGAGATGACAACTCTCCCAATTGGTTATAGTCAAGACAATAAAAACATTTCTTGGTGAATAAGTTTGTCAGGTCTGTATGCTTATATGTACAGGTTCGAGTGGTTTACTCCTGGTATTCTGTTTTGGATTCAACCGCTAAAATGCCACTTTTGCAATATACCCCTTCATTTTTCTTTGTGCCTTCATCAGTGCCTGCAGGAAAGACGTTTCTTCCCAATTCTTTTGTTTCAGAGTTCTAAACATTGGGCGACATGTGCCTCCTGCCTAGTTTGTAATGTCCACACTATCTTACAACGCGCGGTATGCGCCTCGTAAACCCCTTTTGAAACTCCACACTAATCTCATTCAAAGAGCGCAACAGGGCTTTCAGTTTCCAGTGTTGTTGAATTCGACATGGGCGTCGCGGGGGGGGGGGGGGGCAAGGGGGGGGGGCGCTTGCCGCCCCCCCCCCCCCCACCAGGAAAAGCAAACAAAGAAAGAAAAAAAAGTAAGAAAAAGAAAGACAAAAAAGAAAGAAATTGTGAAGTCATATGGCGACGCCCATGCAGGGGGGGGGGGAGGGTTTATTTTCGGGTAGCCATTATGCAGCACAAGAAATGAGCTTCAAAATTTAGATTATGTCTTCCATATTATTTGCCGAGGCAGCAACCAACTTCCAATGGAGAAACAGTGGTTAGGGTTTGTGACTCATGATCAGAGGGTCAGGAGTTCGAATTCAGCTGCTGACCATTTTTATGTTGTGTCCTTGGGCGGGCCTCTTCATCCACACTTGCCTCTCTCCACACAGGCGTGTAAATGGATGCCGACATTAGCTGGGGAGTAACCTGTGATGGACTAGCATCCCATTCAGGGGGAATAGAAATATTCTCTGAAACCGGAGATAAATGCCGGCGCGGCCCAATGGGCCACATTGGCTCGTGACAGACTTTACTGCTTAATTACTACCTTTAATCATCTAAAATATGGTGGCAAATGTCAGTAATGTGGGGCAGATCTAGCTAGCTTTCATGAAACGGGTGGAGGGATGATATAAAGGTAGTGGGGTCCTAAGGCGTGTCGAAGGCATGCCCTACTAGGGGGTCCGGGGCATGGCCGCGGACTACGATGATTTCTCCTACATTAAAGGCAATTCAAGAATACATTTAGGAACTTAATTAGCATTCCATTTGATATTTTTGGCCCCATTTTATTACTTTCCTTAATTAATCAGTGTCTGATTAATCAACGGGGGGGGGGGGGGGGGGGGGGGGGGGGGGGGGGGGGAGGAGGGGGGTGTTTCCTCTAGATCCACTACTGAAGAACATGATTCCGAGAGTGATAACCGAAACTGGAGATTCAGCCGTGGTTCAGAAAACATCCATGTATTAACTGCGCGCAAAAAACCCCCCATAGTTTCCAAGAAATGAATGTCAGTCCTTTATTGCGGGCTTGTTCAAATTACACCAAAACTACATCAAAACAATTTATAGGCCTGCTCAAATAGGCACATAAGAAAGTATATTATGGTTTTTATTAAATGTAACACTCTCTACACATGCTGCAAGATAAAATATATACAATCCTTGCTATTTTTCGAGTTCAACCCCCAAAATATAGATGAAATCCAGTTCTTGGGTACTTTGGCGCATAGAAATTCCTAGCATACACGCGCTCAATAGCTTGAATACATCATGCCTAAATCTGTGCTGACTTACGGAGTTAAAGGGAAGATACAACATTTGAAAACATCAAAGAACGAAATGATCAAATTATCACGAAATACCTTACTGAACTGTTAGGGAATGACAGTCTAAGCATCCTTTAAAATCGTGGCTCCTGGTGTGCTGACATTTTCACGAAAACCAGCGTTGGAGAAAACTGGCTTTTTTCAAAAACTGTTCCTACTTTTTCATATTAAGTTATTCTGACTTTTCTTTGCAATTGATTACACACCTGTGAAGGGGTACAAGCCTGCGCTAGACCTATTCTCGACCTTACAGTTCCCCAAAGAGTATTACATGTAATTGCTCCGTTTCATCTTAAGTGGGGTCAGGGAGCCAGACTACAAGAATATGATAGGTTTTCTTGGTTTTTCCAGCATCTACAAGACCAAAACGTGAATTAAGTCAGTTTAACAATATTTTCTATAACATACTAATCCGCCAAATCCATTTATTTCTGAATATTGCAGCAAAAGCAAATGTTGTACATTCCCTTTAACAAACTTGTTGGTTGCCATGATAATTATGGAGCCGGATGGCAATATTCCCGTTTTTCTCCCAAAAGGATTTTTCGCCCCTCTCGTAATCAGCGAATGTAGGCCTATAAAAAAATATATATTTTCCCGATGTCACAAGAAATTCCAAATTCGCCGTGTTCACTTATTTCACCTTAGGCCTTTAGGGAAGTCTGTTAGCGATGTCCTTTGAAACTGTACATGTTTCTTTGTAATAGTTGTACAGTAATTATAATTATTTAGTTGCTTTACGATCATGCAGTAATCGCATATGCTTTTATTTTATTTCATTGTGCTGTATTGCATTTGTAAGGTATTGTATTTGTACATAATGTGCAGTTATTTTGTAATGTATGCAGGGCCCCAATGGAAACCAGTTTTAAACTGTTTGGGCATACCCTGGGTAAAAAATGTAATAATTAAACAAATAAATAGCGCGCGTGAAGTATGCTCGAAACTTCTGGTCCGAGTGCAATAAAACCAAAGACTAGACAATAGACCCTGAAAGTTGACCCCTGGTGGCGCGCTTCCGGACCCCTCGAACAGGGGCGGCGGAACCGGGGGGGGGGGGGGTCCTGGGGGCACTTCCCCTCCCCCAGATTCACCCAAGTGCCCCTTTTGCGGACATAAATGTGCCCCCTCGAGCATAAATGTGTCCCCTTGCAATGAACAAAAACTGGCCCTAAAATTTTGGATAATTTGGTTATCAGTAACCATTTCCCAAAATGGTATAGAAAGTTCTGATATGAACGAGGAATATGAAAACCAAGCCCCAAAACCCTTTCAATGCGCCCTGAAAATGGGCACATAATGCGTAGTTTGCATAATGACCGGTTTTGAAGAGCGCCCCTATTTTGGAAAATGGTAATTGTAGCGCCCTCTGATCTGTACCGTCCCGCGGCGGATTGACAGCAGCGCTGCAAATCAGGGGAACACAATCAAAGCCCAGAATTTGACCAATCAAAGTAACTGTACTAAAGGGCCCTGTATGAGGGATCCCGCTTTTGCGCATGCAAATAGATAGGGCCAAATTTACACACATAGGCTAAGACGTTTCCCTGTTGCTTTCAAAATGAACATTTCTCCCTTTCTGAACACGTGTGGATGCACATTATATATAGGTCATTTTGAAAGTTTGGCCAGTAAAGAACCTACGGATAGGTTTAACACTGATTAAAGTCTTGGATCAAAGTTATGAACGGTTGTTTTTTGGAGTTGCTTTGATTTGAAGGGAGCATGCCTATAGTCAACCTGTGAAACGATATGACTGATATTTCTGGGAATCGTGTTCCGCTGGAATGGGAGCGAGGAGGGGAAACGACAGGTTCTTGAGATGCGACTTGTCCCGCACGGGAAGGTATCCGAAATGCTCCATCATCTCAGCACAGCGTCCAACATTCTCGATGGCCTTAGCGGTCTTGAAGTCTAACTTTTTACGCCACGACTGATACACTTGGCTGGACACTCGGGTAGTCGAGTATACTCCAGGTCTATAAGCCTGGGTATTCTCAGCGATCCATTTAGATACTGTCTCAGGGACAGCACCAAGTCCAGTGAAGTTGTAGATGAGTTGGGTGACTCTCCCTGGATCCAATGACATGTCCTCATACCTCAGCAGAAAGTAATTGTCTCTGTACTTAGGAAGGTACGAGCCTGTTTCTTTGTTTTCTAGGCTGAGGGAGCAGTATCGTATGAGATATTCGCGCATTTCCTCCGTGAATGACCCGGCCTTTAATTTGTTGGATGTGTTGTCAACGACGTTCATGGCGGGTACTCGAGATGCAGTCATCCCTCGTGGGTCCCGAACGAGATGAATGACTTTCAAGTTGGTGCTTTGTATCAACGGCAGGAACATCCCGATGTGCCAAATGCGAATAGACTTAATCACAATGGATCTTTTCTCCCGACATTTTTGCACAAACCGTATTGGCGAAACTTTCCCGCACAGAAAGCGACCCGAGCCACCGCGTTTCATTTTGGGGCACAGCGAATCGAACAGCCGCGGTGCAGATTTCAGAATTGTGTTCTGGTTTTTGCCTGACAAACTTTTGAGGTAAAAATCCAGGTAAGTCACATTACACCGGTACAACGAGTTCATCATATCAATGTACAACTGTTGCATGAAAACACTAGTTTCATTGTGGGCAATCAGTTCGTTTTCGAGGGGAATGCCGGGCTCAAAAAGGTAGAAGGTGTTTTCGTTTTGGCCAAATATCTCGCCGACGAATGAGGAACCAGTCCGCATGACTGCCATGATGACGACACTGGAACCCAAAGGTCTGGTTCCCATGACAACATCATGGCGGACGGGGTCAGAGTTCACGTCTACTACAGTCTGGTGTCCGGACGCGGGAGTTGTCGCATGCCTGCCTTTGGCGGCTCTGGTGACGGAGTTCACAGTCGAACAAGAACAGTTGCAGGGTGAAAAGGACGGCAGCCCCACATCACTTGACTGACCTGATCTCGATTTCACTGCTGATACGATGTGGCTCTGGTGGCTCTCCAAAATGGGAGCGTGTCTCACCACCAAATAGAGGAGAAAACATGCGACTGAAACAGTTACGAGAAAAAATAAATATCGTCTCGACATGTTTTTGTATGACTCACGGAAAGGACTTCACGACACTATGTCTGTTTCAGGTCATGAGTGTATCATAAGTCTGAGTAGGCCTTTATTATGTAGTGTTAATGTTTCAGCGTACGTTGCTCCTTTACATGCACGCCGTCTTTAGTGTTTCCTTGACAAAAGCTCAACCTGAAAGGAAAAAAATGGGAAATTATGTTTATTCATAGAAAAAAAAGAAACAAGACGTCAACACCATTATTTGTTTAGTCTACTAGTTACACTGAAGCATTCTAAAGCACGGATATTGTCAATTTGTCACAGAAGCCAAGCGGATTTAATGGATCGAAAAATACCTGGTTCGAATCCACCGATGCCCATTTTTCATCGAATATTTTTCGTCTCCAAATTTATCGTTGGCAAAAGAGTCAGAGAACCTTATTGCAATGATTGCATCGACATTACTGAATTACTCACGAACTGGCTTCACCCACGTCAACCTATGAACAAAAACTCCGGCCGGTTGGTAGGTCAACCCCTTCTTATTTTGGCCCCTCGATTTTTTGTTGTTGTTCTGGAACCACTTTGCTATAATTACTTGAGGAATTGATACTTGACATTTTCCCCTGAATAAATCAAGCGAGGGGCAACTCTCGCACGGAGAAGCCGTTCCACCGAAGTTCTGGGTTTTGAGGCGGAAAGCTAAAAAGGTTTTAGCCTTTTGTGAACTTGATGATATCGATCCTGTAACGACTATGCTTGGACTGGGCCTCGTCTTGTACTTGTGGGATCAGTTGGAGATCAGAGTTTATTGCAGTTTCAAGACTTATTGATTATAGGCCTTTAACCTCATCTCCGTTTTAGATATAACATAGTTTGCGTACTGAATTTTACTAGCACTGCGTCATAAAATACACGGAATGCAGAACAGTAGTAAAGGATAAACACCTTCAAGTTATTCTTTGTCAACAGTCGTCTACCAGCATAACGACGACGCCCATTTGAATATCTGAATTGGTTCAATTAGTTTGGACAAGTATTTTTGCCGCGGTATTACCCATCCCTGTTAGCTGTTTTTGTGTCATGTCATCTCTTTACAATGTGTCAATACTGCAGCACCAACCGCGCATTATCATCTAAGAAAACACCGAGTGGTCCTCCAGTCCAAACACAATAATGACATACACTTCACTCTGTTGTGGCAACGGGGTTTCGAGAGGAGCGCACTGCTCAATACTTAAGTCTGTTTCTGTCGTGTTATTAAAATTAAAAGCATACAATAATAAACTTACTCCTCGTCTTGACTCGTAAAACATCCACGATCTTTCGCATTCCAGACAATTCTCGAAGAAAGAAACCCACAGTACTGATGGCCTGCTCTGCTTCAGTCTAGTGGGCGATATGGATCGATATTTTCTATTGTGTAAATTCATGAAAGCATCTCTCGTACAGCAGCGGGTACTGCGACGGGGCCTAAGTCCGCATACATAATGCAAGGTTATTATGTACCACCATATCACTACTAGTCCAGCGGATATGTGACAAAATATCGATGAATTGTGCACTTTTGCATAAAAGTGTGAAACTTGGCACAGATGTGTGTATATATTCATGCGAGAAAATGTGTTAGATGTGGAGCCATCGCAAATTTACCCTTTTAAGGGCGTGGCATCCATTTAAAAAAGGGGGGGGGGCGGGACTTGTCGTGCCCGCAGTGAAAACGGTTTTTCCCACTTGTTACAAAAGCAGGAAACTTCACAAAGACATAATTATATAGATTATTAGTGTTTTCCAGATTCGGAGCCACCACAAAAGTACCTTTTTGGGGGCGTGGCAGCCATTAAAAGAAAAGGGGGGTTTAATTATTATGCCCACTTTGGAAAACATTGTGCCCATATTTCATGAACAAATAAAACGTCCCACAGACGTTTATATTCATGAAAAAAAAAAATCCAGACACAAAACCGCTTGACCTTCACTTCCGGTGTTACCGGAAGTGCAATAAAATCCGAATATAACTCAAAAGCAGAAGCATTTTACTACACCGTTTAAGATACATTTTTGTAAAAAAAAATAGTTGATTGTACTGGAAGGGATTTAATTTCGTGATCCTTTGTTCTATATATGCGTATATTCCTAACTTTTCTGGGCAGTGTATTATGAAAAGGCTGTCCGCCCGACCACTCTGCGTTTGTAACTCAACAAACGCGAATCTCTAGTTATATTTTGTTGTTGATTTCTTATAATGTTGATTGGCCCATAACCAATATTATTTGGTAATACAATGACTTACACCAAAGAGCATGGGTAAGTACCGGTAGGCTAACCCCAGGTATAGGGTTCAATGTGTGTACTTGCACCTATATTATCATGCACGTCTAAATTCCAGAGTGATTTCATAATTACAAATACACAGCACACAATGGCAGCCCTAAACTCTAACATTTAACAATTAAGGGCCATGGAAATCCTTTTTAACGGGGGTGGGGGGAGGAATGTAAAATCCCCCTACCCCCTACCCGTTGCGCCGCATTGACAGCAGATTGTGAGGCGAGTACATCGTGTTGTTACCCAAAGTGGTGGACACGTCCACTATGACTTCAAATTCAATGAATCTGTGTACCCCCACCACACAACCCCTCTGTTCTCTTAAAAATGGTATATCAAGCTCTGATGAGTGTTTTTTTTTACCCCGACCAAATCCATTAAAACATTTTATACTTTATACAGGTGCGACACTGCATATGCCTTTTGGTCTGTCAGAAAAAAAGGCAGGGGAAACAATGTATTTGAAGAAGTAACACTAGTCTTTCCAAGACTAACTGAGGTACCCCAGTTTATACCCCAATTCAGAAATTGCTGCAGTTGAGAGGTAAAAGGGTGTGTTCGAGATGGCTCCACATCTGGATTTTTTTTCCTCATGAATATAAACGTCCGTGGGACGTTTTATTCGTTCATAAAATATGTGCACAATGTTTTCCAAAGTGGGCATAATAATTACCCCCCCCCTTTTCTTTTAATGGCTGCTACGCCCCCAAAAAGGTACTTTTGTGGTGGCTCCGAATCTGGAAAACACTAATAATCTATATAATTATGTCTTTGTGAAGTTTCCTGCTTTTGTAACAAGTGGGAAAAACCGTTTTCACTGCGGACACGTCAAGTCCCGCCCCCTTTTTTTAAAATGGATGCCACGCCCCTAAAAGGGTAAATTTGCGATGGCTCCACATCTAAAACATTTTTCTCGCATGAATATGAATATCTGTGCCAAGTTTCACGCTTTTATGCAAAAGTGCACAATTTTGTCACATATCCGCTGGACTATACGGATGGACTTGGGATCAATCCCTCCTGGATACTCGGCTCATCTCTGATGTTGAAGTATGGAGTCAGCTGTTCTGAAACTGCTGATTGAGAGTCAGGCCTACTCCAAAAATTATGCTAAATCAGCAAATCATGAGAGGGATGCAGAACCCGGTGATACCCAATTACTGGAACCAAAGCATAAATAAAGAGTTCTGAATCTGGGTTGAAATTCAGTAATTTTCAAACACTTGCCAACAGTTTCTTTATAGCTTGGATATAACATGTAGCACAATCTCCACAATATCTATCCTCTGTCTTACTTAACACAATATCTCCATGGTCACTCCAATGTCCGGTTAAGATGATCACCTTAATTTCACCTGTACATGTACATAGATCGATGAACGTCAGCTGTTTTTTTCACAGCCAGCATCGGTTGATTCTTTGCCATTTGCTGTCTGTTTTCTTGAAAATCTTCTTCATCAGTAGACCAAATACACAACAGCCACTTCTGTCACCATGTAATATAATGTACATGTAGTCTTTAAGTCAGGATAATGATTCAAACAAGACTCATTTGTATAGGCTCTAACAGTGTTGTCTAAATCTGTCTTATTCCCGGCTGCAATTCCTTTGTCTTAGCTATGTCTTGAGTGTGTGCGTGACCTCCAGTGTGCGCGTACTAACTTGCGGTCACATACAGAGGGCGCTGTTCCATGTGACCATTAACTCTTGTTACACCGCCTTCAGGCAGTTTCAACGGTGTATTGACCTAACAATCTTCTTTGCTCAGTTTCCGTTTTTCCCTACCTCATTGTCCCCCTTTTCCCACAGGAAGGGGGGGGGGGGGCAGTGCCCTCCATTGCTCCCCCCCCCCTTCACGACGTTCGGGGTTATTTTATAGCTTTGTTCCAAAAAGTGTTGTTTTATTTTATTACACCTAATACAAAACATTTCTGGACTTCAGCATTTGCAAAGCAATTTTGCCTAGAAAGGGAGAGACAGATCCTACAGTGCAGCGGCTGCAGATAAAAAAAAAATGGTCGGTGGGCTTGGCCTGGGGTTCAGTTGACTGTCTCTCATCTTGTCCCAGCAATGTCCCTGTTAGTCTCGAAGGCAGAGACTGCATCTCTCACTTGTTCAGGGACACATACGCATAATAGCAGTCGACCTTTTTTGCACACAAATCCGTCGAAGATGGCTGCTGAATGCACTCGGGTATACTTGACTTCGTCGGGTTCAGCCGTCGTAGATCGACGGATCTTATATTCTCGCCTCTGGCACTCTTCTATCTTGACATGTTGCCGGTACTGCAGTTTTACAGTAGCACAGCCGGCAAAGCTGCTCTGTATATTTATCTAAGTTCGTCGACAGCCACACGACCCGCGTGTTCCATATAGCTTTAGCAAGACGTCGCGTACTCTTGGTCCAACACGTCAGTATCAATTAAGAGCTCAGTCGAACTATATGGTTAACCAATGGTCAACAATAGATCTTGCGCGAACTTGCCCAGCTGTGGCGTAAGGTCGACGAATATCAGGAAGAGGTCCTTGTTTGCTCCCTATATATTTCTCCTGTAGTTGACGGGCAGTGAAGATGATGCCCATGCATGTTCCCTCGCTCGGTTGGGGCGAAACTTTCCGCACTGGCTCTAGCAGAAGTCCTCTGTCAGTAAGCAATGCGATGGGTGGATCACTCGGGCCAGTATCCGACTCCCCGCGCGATGATTGATGGGCCTGGGTAAAGGGAAGCCCGTGCCGCTGTTGTTGCGATCTCAACCGTCCCCATTTCACTGTGAGGTATGATGCTGGTAGTTGAACTCGTACTCCTGCGGGACCTCACGGCTTCATACAAACATAGAGCTAGGACCTAGCTCTATGATACAAACAGCCGGTGAAGCTTCCCTCACCGACGGGTCCGTATCATAAGTCCGACGCCTTATACTGTCCGACGCCTCATAAGTCCGACATACAATGGACAAACGCTGTTTTGGACTTATGAGGCGTCGGAGCTATGAGACGTCGGACTTATGTGGCCGTGAGGCGGAATAAATACATTTTATGCCTCATAAGTCCGACGCCTTATGAGGCGTCGGATCTATGAGGCATCGGACTTATGAGCGGACCCCTTTACTACCACCTACCACGTTGTCGAACTTGTCGGTACCTTGATATCCTGTCTTCTTAAATGGAGCTTGCGGTCGCTGCCGAAGTTATCGAGCGTGATCGGGAGTAATAAATAACCGTGTGATATTTCCTACACATCCTCAGTGTAGGTGGTTTTTGCATAGAAATTTTAAGATACCAACTTTTACGACAATGTGTTCGTAATGCCGAGTCGCAACAATTCCACCACCGGATACTTGAAGACTTCAAGACTTCAAGACTTCAAGTACCACTGGTACTGGTCCAGCGCAGTCACAGCTCGTCCACAAGCAGTTGTAAGACTACAGAGGGCGCTGCCAACGAATACTGGTACCCATATACTGCATCGTATGCAGCATGGGACCCAGGCGACGGCGCCAGACTAATGATTGTGCAAGCATAACCATTAATTTTCTACTGTGGCAGAGATGGAGACTAACTGCAAATCGTCCCACAAATTCGTAAGGTGTCTTGCTTTTTCCTCGGCTGTTTCATTTCACGCTTTGGTCGGAAAACAGTCTTCAACATAACCAAGTTGACATTGCTGCAATTATGGCTGAATAGCGAGGCGTAGAGTAGCGTGGAACACTGGCACTCTATGCCCTATCGACGCACGGTGTTTATATCCGAGACGTAAGTTAAGACTGTGTACGGCGGGGCGATCGTGTAGTGTAGGGCCCCTGTTTAGTTTCGATCAAATTAGAGTCAAGGGTGTTTTTTATTACTAAAAAAAGACCTTTTAAATCTAAAGCAGACTTCTCTCAATATAATGTCACATTTTTTGGGTAAGTTTTGAACAGTTTCCTCGGGGTAGAAATGACGATTTTCCTACGCGCTTTATGGTTGGCAATGGTTGGTGCCGGGCGATTCAGCGTGCCTAACCATGTCCAAATGTTAAAAAAGGTGATTCGTAGAGTCCGAGTTGGGCCAAATAAAAAAAACAAACATGTTATTATTGTTAAACGTCCTGTCTTTTTGAAAAAAAGGAAGGAAAAAAGATGCCAAAATTATGTCATTGTTTAAAATTTATCATTTTTCCATTCCCCCCCCCCAAAAAAAGGAGGCAGCCTCTAAAAAGGAATTCTAAAAAGGAATTCTAAAAATGGAATTCTAAAAGAATTCCATAGATCTATATAGCCATCACTTATTTTCCCTACATCTGCAATGACCTATCAACCATCAGAAGGCGATAACATGTTGTAAAAAGTCAAATTTACGAATGTCAGACAAGTCGACCGTTGAGACAGCTCGACTCGGGACAAGTCGACCGTTGAGACAACTCGACCGTTCAGACAAGTCGCCCGTTGAGACAACTCGACTCGGGACAACTCGACCGTTGAGACAGCTCGACTTAACGGAAATGTATACACGTGGAGTGGAAAAAGTTGCATGGCAGGACCGATCCCGGGCGCGGCGCGGGCTTACTTGATGCGCAGAGGGCGCTTCAATCCGGTGGCCGTCGCGTCGGGCCGGCGCGCCCCGCCCCGCCCGCGAGGACCGGGCCCAGCCCGGCACGCGGGCACGTCGACTGGGGCGGCAAGTGGGCGCACAGGGCTGGCAAAAACGATGTCACCGTGCACGGTACGGACAACTTTGACCGGCAAATGGGTGCACAGGCCCGGCAAAAACGATGCCACCGTGCACGGTACGGCCACGCTGACCGGGGATAAGTACGCACACAGGCCCGGCTGCGCTATATCGGCTCTGTTATCATGCTTATATCCAACCAAAAAAACCCCTCATGTGTCATCACTCCCAAACGGCGATCAGCCGCCGTCAAAATCCCCGGGACTATCCCCAAAACTAGCAACAAAAACATGCGAGGCGACTTGTCTTAACGGTCGACTTGTCTCAACGGTCGACTTGTCTTTCCATTTATCGCACATACAGTCGAGTTGTCTCAACGGTCGACTTGTCCCGAGTCGAGTTGTCTCAACGGGTCGACTTGTCTGACCCCCAAATTTACAAATGTAGCAGGGAAAATATTAAAGCATGATTTACTGAGAAAACACTGCATTTTTCAGACAAGTCTCATAGGGTTTGTCAGGGTGTCAAGTGCATGATGTCCATGCATTGAATTCTTTCCTGCTTAAATATCCTGAAAAATTGTGTTTCTAGAATTTGAAACATAGACTGGCTTTAAGACTTGATATTCGCCAATTTGTACCTGGTAAATAACCAGGAAAACTAAAATACATGTTGGTTAAAATTGCATGATTGACCTACGATCTGGAAATAACACTGCAGTCATTTTTCCACAATCAATACCACTGCTGGCATTGATTGTGCTAGATCAGTTTGTCCCAGCAGTGTTTGCGTCTTATTTTACTCTCAATATTAGCAATTGATTACAACCCCTTTATTCTGAAATAAAATTGACAATTAGGTGGAAGTGCTGTACCGTAACAACTCCCAGATCTTAAGGCCACAGACGTCAACAGCTTTTTGGTTAAAGCAGGGGGTGTCTTCATCAGAGGTCCAACGTTGCAGGCCATCATGTCCAAGGCAACCAAGCGAAAACACGTGACCAGGGAGGTTCTGGATGAGTACACTCTACCTGAAGATCATCAGCAGATTGTTAAGGTTTGTAAAAAGCAGATTGTTAAGGTTTGTATAAAGCAGTGGTGGTATTAAAATCCGGATTTTTAAAATTCGGTTTGAATTTCACTATTCGGGTTCAATTTTGGGAACTGTATATTTGAAATCATCATTTAAAATTGTAAGCCGCCTGTTTTTTTTGGGTGGCAAAAGCTAAAGGAAACGTATGGAACTTCCCCAAAATTTGATTAACCCTAACCGAACTCAACCCATCAAAGTTCAACAGCAGGTTTTGTTGAAATCTGTTGGGATGGGTACAGTACCCCTAAACTGATGGTCTTTTACACTGGGGTTGGCATACCTCCAGAAACTAAGTCCAACAGTGTGTGTGTACAATTTCCCATGTGGGTGTTAGAATTTGCCAGAATGGGTATGGTTCCTTGTAAATTAGGCTGGGGAGTTAGGGATAATGGTCTCTGATTGTAAACACTTTCACTCACAAGTGGTCTTCTTGGTTCATGAATTGACTGATCAGAGAGTTCCAACCCGTTTACAGCTCTTGGAGTGTTTTTGGAAAGGCCCAGTGGTCATTGAGTACTGTAAACCATACTCAATCATCGTGTAGGGCATAGCATGCAGCACCTCAATCGTCACATTTTGTTGGTTTGACTGAGCTGACTGGGAAGTTCCGGTGAAATCAGAAACCGTTACTTGCAGATTTTGAAATTTCCAATTTCTTCCGCCGTACTAGTAGAAACTGTCCCGGAAATCTGTTTGACTATAGGAATTCAGTGTATCACACTGTCTCGGGTAATGTTGTTGCTGATTTAACCATTGCTATTTTTCTTCATCGCTATTTCATCGGCAGATCAGAAGAACAATAGTTATTGGAGATGGTTTTCCATCATCAATAGGAATTTTTCCCACACCATTGGAAGACAAAGAAAAAAAAAAACAACCTTAAAATTCCTGTAGTGGAAATAAAATGTCTTTGTTTCAATGTCTTCAGACAAAGTTGATCTGAAACTTTTTCACTTCATATAAAAAAACCCAAAGCAGTCAAACATGGGAGAGTCATCTTTTAAAGTTTTTTTCTGAAACTTTAAATAAAAATCATATTGCAAAATGTAGGTGTCATTAAACATGTAAACATGTAAACATGTATATGTTCGTTCAGTTCTACATAATACACTTATGCACTAAAATATTGTGTGAAAAAGAAAAGAAATGCACCAACCGGTCTCTGTGTCGGCCATTCAGTGACCTTTAAGTAATCTCATGCTTTCAATAGTGAATAGCATTTTGTGCGTGGTATTCGGTTTAAAGTTCACTAGTCTGTGACTTTGTCTTTAAAGGTGACCGCAAGCAGGGGTAACAACCTTCATGAGGTACAGACTGCGACAGGGGAACAGTTTCTGGTCAGCATGCCAACAAGGTTTCGCAAAAACGTCTGGATTAAAAGAGGTATAAAGCATTAATTTAACCCTAACTCCCTAGGCCTTTTTGCTAGGATGTAGCCTCAATCCTGCAAAATCCTCCAACTGCTTCCATGTCAAAATAGCATATAGCCTCAATCCTGCAAATTCCTCCATTATTTCTTGCATATGGTCAGTGGAGAGGTGACACTGCCTGAATCCTGCAAAATCCTCCGGCTATGACTGTCAATATGTTGAGTCAGAGCCGGTGACATTTTGGAGCAGTGCGGAGGATTTCAAGTATAAATCAAGGACTAAATTTATGCACGGCTGAGCAAAAACAACACAAGGTCCGGCCCAGGACCTTGACACAGTGCGTCCTCTGAAATCAGCAACGCACTTTTGCCATGTAACCTCAATCCTGCAAATTCCTCCAATTTGCAAAAAGGATTTTGGAGGATTTGGGATGGTTAGGGTAAAGGACTCATCAACACTGAATCCCCAGGCATTCGTGTTTGGATCATCTGTCTAAGTCTATAATAAAAAAGATGCCTAGAAATATTGAATTGGTAAAGAAGCAAAATTACTCTTTAGACAGTCTGTTAGTTCTGATACTGTTCTGATGTTTTCTTTCAGGTGACTTCGTGATTGTAGACCCCATTCTGGAAGGGGATAAAGTCAAGGCGGAGATAGCGACCATCCTCTACCCGAAGCAGATCAAATATATTCAAAAGGAGGGACTGTGGTAAATCTCTTTCCTAAATTTTAGTTTTAAATTTGTATGTTTTGTTTTAACGAACAAAAACTCTTCTTTATTCCAATTTTGGGCATCTGCAATCCTCTGTAAAAGGGTTTTCATTTTGCACACAACTGAACCCACCCTGCGAGAGCCAACTTATTGTCTGGCAGCCAATAATTTGAATTTTGTGAAGAAATAATTCAATAACTATCAGTGTAACTCAAAAATAGCACGGGAAATGCCTCTTTAACCCTAACTCCCTAGGGTGGTTTATTAGGAACCTTTCTCATCTTTGCAAATCCCAACACCATGGACCCTGTTTATTTGTGGTATGCCTAATCCCACATAAAGCAGTCAGTTTACTAGTGCAGTACTCATCCTAACAGATTCCAACAAACCCTGGTGTTGGAGTTTGGCTGGCTGGGATCGTTAGGCCAAAAAAAAAAGTCTCCGGTTTCTGGTATGCACGCGCGTCGCCGTAGCCATGCGCGTCGGCAAAATGAAAAAGTTTTTTTTTCAATGAAAGATGATGTCTCAAAACCGCCAAACTCACTGGTTTGACTGGAATTCTGCTGCTGCGCAATTTCAACGTGTTTTTAGATGGGGTTATGATCGAGAATAAGCTTTATGTGGCCTCTCTGGACTCCCATATATTTGCACTAAGTTTAGTCGGGCACCATTTGCAGTCATCAGCCGACATTTGAAGCAAAAAAGTCCGGAAAAAAAAAAAAAAAGCCGCGTCGCCGCACCACTTTTTGGACAAGCTCCATACCAGAAACCGGAGACTTTTTTTTTTGGCCTTAGGGTTAATATATTCTTCCTCCAAGAGTTATTATGTAAAGCAAACAACCTACCAAAAAAAAAAAAAAAATTTTTTAATGACACTTGAATGGCATATTACAAAGTTCAGAGGTATTACAGGGACAGAAACAAAATGTCGTACCTTGGACCCAAAATCGATAGAATTTGTGTATTCCTTTGCATCCACCAGGCCAGATGAGTTTGCAAACAAGCCACCCAGTGGGGAGTCGGACATGGCACACCCGGTCAACAATCTGGACCTGGATACGATCACCAAGGACATCTCTAAGATCGGGCTGGGAGAAGAGGATCCCACCAGCCCTGCAGAACAAGACGACTACGAAAGCGACAGCGATAACGACGATGACTTGTTTGTCAACACCAATCGCCCCTCGGTGACCTATTACTACTCCGAGAGTGATGAAGAGGAGGAGGAAGGGGCGGGGCTTAGTGATGATGAGGGGGCGGATGAAGGAGGAGATGAGGGCGGAGAGAGATAGGCGTTCCCTGTGCTGGGATGAGAACAGTGCCACAAAGTGCTGCAAACGGTTAAATTAGACACAGATTCTGCTTGGACAAAATGATCTAGTTTGAGCTGCCACATGTGGAGTCTGTGGGATAATCTGCAGGTTGCGGGTTCGAGTCCAGCCTAGGGTCATGGTGCGCGTGTCCTTGGGCAAGGCACTTTGTCACTTATTGCTCCTCTCTACCCAGGAGTATATGAGTACCTGTGAGGGAAGAGATGGTTATTGTGACTGATTTTAGCATCGAAATGACAGCATCGAGCTGTATACTCCCAAGGGAGCTGAGATTGTATTTGGAATGCTTCATTGGCCCGATGATCAGGGGGAATAATAATGTAAACCGCTTTGATCTTTAAAAGCGAAATACAAGTATTCATTATTATTATTACGCACCTAGAATTTACTCATTGTTCAAAATTTGTTCCGACTGATGTGGTATATGGATAGTAAATGTCAGATTTTCGTTGTTAATTTATCGTCGGACTGAGGGATAATTGCCATGTATCGTGATGTCAGCTGATCTCCGATGCCTGATTAGTGTGGCCGCAGTGGTTGAGCTGACCTTGAACCTTTTGAATGCCCTTTCGGCTCTAAAGCATATATATACACATAGCGCCAATTGACGATTTTTTTTCAGATGCAAATTTCTCCTATCGCTAAGACATTGTCATTGAAAACTGTAATACATGTACTCTCAAATTTTTTTAGATTTCATTTGTACCTTCATCGCAGTGTTTCTGCATCTGCAAGTGACAGCAAATGTAATGTCAAAGAAACAATGCATCCTAAAATACCAGGAGGTTTGTCGCTGAAGAGAGGAAACTAAGGGCCCCCCAAAAAGTCTCCGGTTTCTGGTATGGAGCTTGCCCCAGTAGTGGTGCGGCGACGCAGCTTTTTTTTTTTGACTGTTTTTTTTCTTCAAATGTCGGCTGATGACTGCATATGGTGCCCAACTAAATTTAGTGCAAACTATATGGGAGCCAAGAAAACACGTTAAAATTGTGCAGCAGCAGGATTCCAGTCAAACCAGTGAGTTTGGCAGTTTTAAGACATCATCTTACATTGAAAAAAAAAACTTTTTCATTTTGCCGACGCGCATGGCTACGGTGACGCGCGTGCATACCAGAAACCGGAGACTTTGTTTTTTTTTTGGCCTAAGGCACTGTTGTGTATTTGTGAAAGTACATGTATCATTTTCTGTTGAGGGAAGATTATAATCTGTCTGCGCTGGCAAGCTTTGACTACATGAATGGATTCTCATGTAACAGACTCTGTGCCCAAGTACCACTCAGCAGTTACAAATAGCGAGTTGGGGGAGACCACTGGGAGAGACATTTGAATGCATTGCCGACGGAGCCTGAAGCTCATGGAAGACACAACAAGTTTGTGCACAAGTGCTTGCACCACAAGTGCCGTGAATCAGTTCACGGAAGTATAGTGTCCCACTGGGGCTCTAAAAATGGTCCCAAAAGCATCTCCTGTTCCGCACTGATTCCATTCCATGTCAACCCACCTAGTGTGAACAACTCAAAACTCTTTTGTTTCGCAAGTGAAGCGATGGTTTTAGTTTCATTATGGCAAAGAGCAAATGGGTTCTCTGTTTGCATTGATATGGTCAAGTCCATCACAAGTCCCTGCAAGTCTGTCAGTCTTAGGCCAAAAAAAAAAAGTCTCCGGTTTCTGGTATGCGCGCGCGTCGCCGTAGCCATGCGCGTCGGCAAAATGAAAAAGGTTTTTTTCAATGAAAGATGATGTCTCAAAATCGCCAAACTCACTGGTTTGACTGGAATCCTGCTGCTGCACAATTTTAACGTGTTTTTAGATATGTGGCCTCTCTGGACTCCCATATATTTTCACTAAGTTTAGTCGGGCACCATTTGCAGTCATCAGCCAACATGGAAGCAAAAAAATCAGGTAAAAAAAAAAAAAAAAGCCGCGTAGCCGCACCACTTTTTGGCAAGCTCCATACCAGAAACCGGAGACTTTTTTTTTTGGCCTTATGAAAGGACTTACTCGACTATGACACTGTGTATGTGTTTAAAGCCTTGGTCCTTATGCCTCAATGGTTAAAGCCAAATTTTTGTACATATCGGCATATCGAATAAACCAAGAAATACCTAATTTTGTGTGGTCCTAGAATGTTGATTTGGTACACGTATGTGTCTGAAGATTAATTTTCCAGCACCCCCCTCCCCCCAGAAAAAAAGGGAAGTGACCATATTGCAGGGATGTTTTATTTGTGTGCTTGGGGCAAAAAGGGGAGAGTTTCCAATTGTTTGTTGAGAATTTATGGAGAAATGCATTATAATCAACTATGGGTGCATGTGTATTGTGAATGAATTTGTGAGGAACGGAGGCAAGGTTTTCTGTCCGGCCAGAATGAGGATATTGTAACGGCGACCTAAATAGGCTGACCACCAGTAGGGGGATTATCAAAAATACATGGATGTTGATCACAAATAACGGACAAAGGGACAATTATTTTCAATATCTGAAAATGGAAATAATTGGAATATAATTAGCGCTTCTTCACTTACTAAATGACTAGCCAGGGGAGAGCATGCAAATATGAATAATAGAATTGAAATGACTAGTTACTGACAGAGCTAAGAATGCAGACTGGGGACTGCTACAATGGAACACCGTAGTCTACTAGGCAATGTAAAAATTACTGGGTGCAAGGGGGGTAAAATTAGAACTAGCCCCGTAAATGTGGCCAATTTACTGGACTACCTCCGTAAATAAAGGCCACACTTTCACCATGTACAAAAACATGTTGAACTTTGTCAAATTTTGATTTTCACATTTAGGCTTAGTTTGTAGTTTATTTTTGCTTTAGAAGCATACTCACCCTCTTTATAGGCTAATCAGAAAGTGCTGCCTTTTTCAGATGTCTATTTTTTGTGAAATTTTCAGATTCTTTGGACACGTTTGCGTATCAAAATTTCAACATGAAGTTTCACGAAAATTAGACATCAGAAAAGGGCAGCACTTTCTGATTAGCCTATAAAGAGGGCGAGTATTCTTCTAAAGCAAAAATAAACTACAAACTAAGTCTAAATGTGAAAATCAAAATTTGACAAAGTTCGACATGTTTTTGTATATGGTGGAAGTGTGGCCTTTATTTACGGAGGTAGTCCAGTAAATTGGCCACATTTATGGGGCTAGGGGAGAGCATGCAAACATGAATAATATAATTGAAATGACTAGTTACTGACAGAGCTAAGAATTCAGACTAGGGACCGCTACGATAGAACACCATATAGTCTACTAGTACTAGGCAATGTAACAACTACTGGGTGCAAGGGGGGTAAAATTGGAACATACTCACAAGACTATGCAGACCACTGAACCCTTTGATGTGAAGTAATGGTGGTGGTGATGGTGCCAAGTACATAGTGTCTTGCACATAAACAAGGCCACACTAAACTAGACTTCCATCTTCAGCCATACAAGTACAGGAACTTGGAAAATAAGGAACTAGAATGCACACCGCCATCCACCACCATGCCCCAGCAGCAAGTCCACTCCCTACTGGGTTTTCAAAGGGGTTTTATAGTACTGGGTCAAAATATGCATAAGGATTTTCAAGATTAGGAAAACTATGTAGTGTGTCTTTCTTATATGGAGATATTTGCATAAACACTAAGTACAGAGGTATGGGGGCAAGGAACTTAAAAATTATATCCCTAGCACTGTGAGAGTGAACAATAAAGACTACAATGCGAGCTCCATCTGTGGTTTGACTGAAGCCCAAATATATGCGCTATCTATTGTGGTTTAAAGTAGGTTAAGTTGAAAGAAAGTAAGCTCTGAAATAGTTTTGTGGCATTAATCTGACTTGAGAACAGGTGCAATACATGACTACTATGGATTACTGTTGCCAAAGCGCTCTTTATAATAGTTTAAAGGTGAATTGGGACAATAATAAAATCAAATTTTGTTACAGTACTCAGAGATGACTTAAAGGCATATTATTTGCACTTACCCCAAAAGTGACAACCAAATTGTTTTAAGAAATGTAGGAGATTCCCAACAATCAGTCAATACACTGATTTTAATTGTTTTGAGTGAAGACTGCTATTAACAAAAGTGTGTTTTGTGATCAAAAGGTTGTGCAAGGTTTTTCACTGATCGAAAAGTGTATTATCCACTGAGCTGAAACTTCAACAGGCTAGGTATTGAACATTCTTCTTTGGATTTTGAGTGGTGTTATCATTGGAAACAAACAAAATGCATGAAAAGCAAATGACCCTATATGCCTTTCAACTTAAAGGGAATATACAACATTTGCTTTTGCTGCAAGTTTCAGAAATAAATGGATTTGGAGGATTAGTATGTTATAGCAAATATTGTTAAAATGACTTGTTTCACGATTTGGGCTTGTAGATGCTGGAAAAACCAAGAAAACCAATCATGTTCTTGTAGTCTGGTTCCCTGACCCCACTTAAGATGAAACAGAGCAATGTATAACCTTCGCGGAATTGTAAGGTCAGAGAATCAGTCTAGCAGGCTTGTACCCCTTCACAGGTGTGTAATCAATTGCAAAGAAAACGCGGCATAACTAATTATGTAAAATTAGAAGCACTTTTTGAAAAAAAAACAGTTTTCTCCAATGCTGGTCGGCCGACCAGCGTTGGAAAAATCCTATTTTTCTTGAAAATGACAGCACACTAGGAGCCACGATTTTACAGAATGTTTCAGACTGTCATTCCCTAACAATCCAGTGAGGTATTTCGTGATAATTTGATCATTTCGTTTTGTGATGTTTGCAAATGTTGTATCTTCCCTTTAACATGAGCAATTAGAATAGAAATGAAATTGAAACAACAGCAATGAAGACAAGACCAGCTGATATTGTATACAAGGTGCACATTTATTTTAATGATCTGAACCACGGTCACTTTATCACTGGTATGATACACTAGGATGTGATCCAACAATTTCTAGACTCCAGTACATTATCAATAACATTTTAAGTTATTTTTTTTACACTGTAATTTTTTTTTATAATTTTTTTTTTAATGTTTAATCTCACCACATGAACGACAGCTAGACCACATAAGTACGGCTAGGAGCTTAAAGATTGTCCATCTAGCTAGTCATTTTGAACAAAGGGATAAAAATGACTCCACGGAATTCCTTTTTTTTTTAATATTCAGGAGTAGATAATCCTTAAAATCTTTTGATTTGTCAAAAATCTCGTCCATTTGCACACATGAGCTTTCAGATAAAATCCCCCAAAATATTGAGGCCTAGATGAAACCTTTGGTATTAAAACAAAACAAAAATACAGAAAATAAATTATCTTCAATACAAAAGATGTTGAGTTTATGAATTTCGTTTTCTTCTTTCAACCATGCATTTGCACTTTTTCAACTTGTTCAACATTTTTT